TAGTAAGTGCTGATTCAAAAGGATATATGCACTCTATGTTTATTGCAGCATTATTTACAATAGCCAAACTACGGAAGCAACCAGTGTCAATTGATGGATGAAAGGATAAAGAAGGAGTGGTATAGATAGGTAGGTAGATGGATAGATAGATAGATATCTACAAAGGACTATTATTCAGCCATAAAAAAGAATGAAATCTTGCTATTTGCAACAACATGGATGGAGCTAGAGAGTATTATGCTAAGTGAAATAAGCCAGTCAGAGAAAGACAAATACTATAGGAATTCATTTGTGTGGAATTTAAGAAATGAGGCAAATAAGGAAAGGAAAGATAAAAGAGAGAGGAAGAAAGACAAATTAACAAACCAACTCTTAACTATAGAGTCAAACTGATGGTTACCAGAGGGGTGTTGGGTGGGGGCAGGCGGTAAATAGGTGATGGGGACCAATGAGTGCACTTGTGATGAGCACAGGGTGAGGTATGGAATTGTTAAGTCACTATATCTATATTCCTGAAACTAATACACCACTGTATGTTAATTAACTGGAATTAAAAGTTTAAAAAGCCAAAAAAAAAATCACAGAAAAGTAAATCAAACTGGAAAACAGCAAGACACTTCCACAAAGCAGTTACTTGAATGGATGAATAAATGAATGGCTTATCTCTTAATGTATTTTTAGTTATTATGGATCTTTTACCTCCTCTCAATATTCTTTTTCCAGTGTAGTGGTTAAGGAAAGAGTGGTTAAGGAAAGTGGCTTAAGGAAAGAGTCCTTAAGCTGTGTCTATAATTTACTGATTTGAAGACTCTGGACCAATGTTTGCTCTTTTCTTCTGCTGTTTTGGGACTATTTCATAATCACTGTTATTTCTTCTTTATGTTTCTCGTCACAGAGGCCCTATTCCATCTTTTACTCCTTCCTTCGTTCCCTCCTTTCCTTTTTCCATTTCCAAATTTCATGGAAAATTGACAGGTCTCTCAATAGGGTTCACCTGTCCCTGCCATTACCTTTTTAGTGTACTCCCACCTTAAGTTTCATCAGCAGATCCTTATCCTGCTTTCTTCTTAGAATATTTTTGTGTGGTTATCATACTGGTTTCTTTTACTTTTATTACTCATATTTGTTTTAGAGGAGTTCTTTTTGGAGCCATTAGTTTGGGATAGATAGGCATAATGGGTTTGTCTGTTTCTGAAAGCTTGACTTTGGGTCTCTTTTCAAATTCTTTTTTTAACAGCACTATCCTCTGGGATTTGATTCCACTTCTGACTAGCAGGGCACCTGGCTCAGAGCAGAACGCTTTCTGCTGAATTTTGTGGTGCACTGTGTAGCTCATATCTTTTGAGATCAAAATATGCTTTCTCTGTCTCCCTGAAACTTGGCCCATTTTTCTTGTACTTGGTAGCTTTTCTTTACAGATGATTTTGGATTATGGGTATCTTTTAGCTTAGTCAAAGATGATGCTTCCTTTTCTGTTTCTCATTCTCCCTGTTACTTTTCATGAATTTCAAAGAGAAGAGCAGAAGCTTTGCAGTAATAGTTTTTAACTTGTCTCCTGCCTTTACTCTTGCTTTTTTAAAAAATTCTACTCTGCACAGCCTGCCTGATAGGAAGCAGCAATGAGAATGTATGACTTCACTGCTTCAGAAACTTTCTTCATTTAGCTTAGAAGGTAAATTGCCAGCACGTCAAAGTGGCTTGTCAGGCCCTGTATGAAATGGTCCCTGTCTATTCTATTTCCAGTCCTAACTTATCACTCCTTTATATTTTAGCCACACTTAGTTCTTTGTCTGACTGATAACGTATTATGAAATTTCCTATCCATGTTCCTTGACGTATGCCTTGTGCCTCTGCCTGACATTCTTCTCCTTTCTTATTTACCTAACAAGCTTTTGCTCATCCTTCCAAGCCCGGCTCCCATGGTTCTTGCTTCCTGAAGTCTTCTTTCACTCTTCCGGAACAGAGTGGGTCTCTCTTTCTCATGCTCCTTTAGTTCATACATATTTTGATGACTACACTTTTTTCACTATAATCATTTGTTTGCCTATTTTTCTCCTTTGATTGAATTCCTTGAAATTGGTACCTTGTTTGTTTTTGTATCCCCATCATGAAGCACAGGACCTCGTACCTAATAGGGTCTCAAACAGTAATTATTATGAAGGTTTGAATCAACATAAATAGAAAGATTTAAAATAGGAGAGAGATTTTAAAATCCAGGACTTGAGTTCTTGGTTTTTTTTGTTTTGGCTGAATTAGAGTGAGATGTAAATAAAAGTGTTTTTCTAAAAAACCCACAAAACAAAACAAAGCAAAATCAAATGTAAATATTCTCCAGACTGTCATAAAAGGCTAGTACTGAGGAAAGTGGCAAGAACTCAAAATCTTGGAGTTCTTTGAATCCCGGTCGTAGTTTGCATTATAAGAGTGATGCTATCCCCAAGATAAAGTGTACATGGAGGAGAAATAAACAGGAAGAGAACCACAGGTCTTGCAGATTCAGTGGGAGGAGTGAGCAGTGAACTCTTCTGCATTTCTCAGTTGTCAGGTTGAGGAAGATTATCTGTTCCTACAGTTCAACCTCTCTGTTTTAAAAATAACTACTTCTCTTGCTGATTTCATGAATTTTCCTCTCTCCTGAGCTAAGTTCTGTAAAACTTTTTATGCCCATTTCCAGCAATAATGGATGGTGTGCATGTCTCAGTAGTATAATTTAGTGACTCGTTAGAGTGAAAGGTAAAATACTGAGTGAGGACTGAAATACTCCATATGTCTTAAAATTCCACAAATCCAGGCATGTGGGAGACATTCCGCACAGAAACTCAACATGACTAATCCTTAGCAAACACTCTGAAATGGATAGTTCTTCCCCACTGCCTGGACCACTGCATCCCCTGGGGACTTTAACCAAGCCATCTGGAATTTTTCAGATTTAATATTAGTGCTTTGCTTTCACAGAAAGGCACCAACATCCTTGCTTCGCAAGCCTTCCACCTGAGACATTCAGTCGTCTGTTGGCATGGGTTTTTCTTTGTTCCTAGAGCTCCATGAGAAATTAATGGCCAACAGTCCAGGATGTGTTTTTGCTTAATTCCCATCAGAAAACCCTAGGGCTAAAGATGTTACCTTGTTGCTGACTTCTTTTCATGCCCGAGCATCTTAAGAAATTATCTTATTTCAAATATGTGTTTCTCATTAGACTCACTTTTCATTCCCATTCACCTCTATTCTGCACTCTCTCCTTCTTTCTTTTCTTAACCACTAAGGCAGACTGTAGTTCTCTGTTGCTAGGTGTACTGGATGTCTTCTGGCTCTGAGAGTGCCCACATTTTCTCTGTTCTGGAGCTTGTCTCAGTCCCTAGGTCCTTCTGCCCATGGCTGGCCTTGGAGCTTGGCAGACCGGTCTTGCAGGTGGTCTGAAGGTGACATGATGATTTTTTTGAGGCGCTCCAAAATGTGTTTGAGTCTAAACACCTGTGTGGTAGTGCTGACATTACTTCAGTTCAACAAATATTGATCAGGGGTCCATTCTGTTACTACATAAGCAATGGTCCTAGTTTTCTGTTTGCTCACAGACCAGTGGGGACGACGGGTTTGTGATAGTATGAAACAGAGAAATCCCTAGGAGAACCCAAATAAGCTCTACCTGGGGAGGCCATGTGGCATTTCTCAAGAGGCCAACTCTGCAGGGATGGCTTAGGCTGGAGCAGGTTCCCTTTCAGGGGTCCCTGTGCCCATAACCCAGATGCCAGTTTTCTCTCTACCAAATCTGGGGACCCTCTGTTGTTTTCACATGCAAAGGTTCACTTGAAGGGACTGGTAAGATTGAAATGATTTGACACTTTGACACTAAGGGAACTTCCAGGCTTTCCCACCATGACTGCTGTGTCCTTTACTGATCACTCCCATAATGGACAAAAATATTAAAGCATTCTCAAGCATCCCACAGTAGCTAAAATCTTCCTTCAACCACTATGCATCCATAGAATCATTATTGCCCCAACACTAGTTATATTAAAGGGCAGATTCCCAAATGCTTGCCTTTCCCTTTGGTCGTCTTCCTGCAGTGGACCCCCAGCAGGCTGACCATTTAGAGCAGAGGATGCCTTCTGGCTGGTTTCTTGCCTTTCCCTTCAAAATTTTATCACCTGTTAGTACAGAATTATACATCTCACTTCATCCCAAGGAAAGAATGAGCTGGTAGAGTCAAGACTGTATCATTCAAGCTTGAGGAGACTTGATCCTCAAGACTGTGTCTGTATTGCTCAGAGTAGCTCAATTAGTGGTCAGCTGGGGAATAAAGGTTTTTATTGTGAAGCATTGACATGATGCTTCATAGGTGTCTTCCTAATGTAATTGGAACTTTTGCATAAATGGTATGTAAAAGTCATCAATTTATAAAAATTCTGTGGGACCCCAGCGGTTGCACTCTTGTCTCATCCTGGTTCTTACAGGTTTAGAGCTATGAGGTCTGCACACAGAGGGCAGTCTGTGTCATGCTCACTTAAACCTTAAATTCCACAGAGTGGAAACAAAAAACAACAATGGTAAAGGTACATACCATTTATTTTACTTCTGTCTCATTTTTTACTGTCCAAGTAGATTTCTTTTTACTTACACTCAATCTAGTGCTTATTTACATTCTCTGGAGGCCTGGCCTTTGGCGACATCACAGGATTCCATCCATTACCACATTACTATGACTTTTCTATTTGTGTGTCATAAATCCAGACTTAACTAAGTTTGTTGCAGTCCCGTGACATAGTACAGTCGACTGAAATTTTATTAACCCCAACCACTCAACCAGTCCAGGTAAGCTTTGGGAGTGATCAATCAGAAAATACCATGCAACCAACAAATTAATTACACTGCCTACTATATTGACTTTCTATTTAATTGAATTCGGGGATAATATTTCTAGGAGATTATTCTTGATCATTATTGCATTTACAATTATCAGTATCATTTACAAAACATTTATCATGCTTATTATCTCGTTTTAGGTCACCAGTCTCTTCAGAAGATCACGGTAAGAATTTGTCTTACTTATACTAATTCAAGATTAAAAGTTGAATTCCATTCCTTGCATTTCACTGTCAGAGGAAAGAATTATTCAAGGAAATGTTTCTAAGATATTGGCCTTGTGTTTTTTTCCATGTGAAATGTCATGCACTTTTAAAAACTCAGTGTATCCTAACTAAATGTGATATCTTGTAATATCTTTAAATCCATTATAACCATTTTGGTTGACAAATATTATGAAGCTTAATGTATCTACCTGATTTTTGTCCCATCACTGGATACATTTTGTGAGCTGGGGTTAGCCATGTAATTTCTCTGCATCACAGATTTTCATCTTTAAAATGAGAGTGTGTAGTAGGTACTCCCAAAAGTCCCTCCAAGATTGGATGTTGGAATTTGCCAAAAGTAGTAGAAGTCTGAAATGAACCTAATCAGTAGTGGTGTGAATTGTTACCCTACTGAGGTGAGTTATTCACATTTAAGACACAATTATTTCATTCAAAGGATAAAATGTATAGTTTTGTCACATCTACCTTTGGGAATTCATTTATTCAGTCAGTCATTCAAAAATGTTCACTGAGTGTCTACAGTGGGTCCATGATACTATATAATCATGTTATGCAAATATGCTTTTGGGGGCCATCTGCAGAGATAATGGGATATGTGACAGAATTTCCCCCCCTAAAAGAGCTTTGAGTCTAGTGGTGAAGGGGGTGGTAGAAAGACCCATACCTCCCGCAATATTTTAAAGTAAAATGTGATTAATCTTACAAAGGGGAGATACACCAGGACTCTAAGTAGTACTGGCTTTCCTCCTCATGCCAGCCCTAAGTAGTGAAGGGCACCATTATGTATTCAGCCAACTAAGTATAACACAGGAAAGCTGCTGCCAGATTCCCTCTTCATTCCCTTATTCTGTTCGGCCACTAAATTTTATTAACTCTGGTTTTCATATTCCTTTTATTGCTACTTTCTTTTCCATCCCCAGTGCTGTAGCTTAGAGGCTCTCTGTGTGTCTTACTTAGACTTTTAAAATTGCCTTAAAACTGATGTCCCCACCCTAGTTTTCCATCCTCTAATTCACTCTACCCTTAGAGAGCACCACACTGTTCTTCAGCAAAAATCTACTCCCATTGCCTCTGGGTTGAAATCTTATCAGTAGACTAACCATTGTATTCAGCTTTCTGTTACTGTATTTTAATGTGGAATGGAAATCCTAAATGTTGGAACCTTTGTTTCCTTCTACTGCTTTTTGCTTCTTTTGCCATCTTTTCCCCTTTCTTCTACCCATGCTGAATGTTCTAGCCATGTGGTATTGCATCTGTTTTCTGGAACTCACCATGTGTTCATATTTCCTGTTTTTATCCATACTCTTCTTTCTGACAGGAAGCTACTCCTTGTTGCAATATACATGGTTTATACTTACCATTTGACACCTTGCTAATCATCTCGTCCTCTCTGAGAGCTTTCTGACACACTTACCATTTACATGAAATATTTTTCTTCTAGAATTTAACACATAAATTTGATGCCTGGTTTACCTGTCTCCCTGCTAGGCTGTGAGTTCTTTGACATAAATCCCAACAAATAGCAAACATTCAATAAATGCTTATTACGTGAATGAGTTAAGGACAAAGAGAGGGAGTTTTAGGCAGGCATATTCTGCCATATCATAAGATCTCTCACAATATTGAAATGAAGATGTATCACATTCTCTAAAGATCATAGGGCAAATCATGTGTAGACCTCTTAAATCACTATAAGGTAACGAACCACCTAATGATGACCTATTACAATGTGCTACTTTGCTCATCAGTGTTGGTATGACTAGGTTTTTCTTCATTGCATATTGAGGGATCGTTGGGCTTCTAAGTTCCATTGATTCAAAACTTTTGTTTTGTTTTTATTTTGATCTAGGGGTTTCCCTAAATGACTTGTTTGCTTTGGCCTTCCAGTCTATTAGAACTTATCCCCTATTTCCAAACAAGGGGTGTGGGGGGAACTTCTGAATTGTCGTTCTGTGGTTTGCTAATAATTCTTAAGGTGTTATGAGCTATCGGTGAGCAGGTGGTGGCATCCTTGGAAGTCCTTGAAAAATGTCTACCACCAGAAAGACTTGCTCAGTATGAATAACCCATCAGAATTAATTATTTTAAGAACTATATATGTGATTAAAGAAACATTATCCAGATATGAGGGCTTTTATATTTTTATGGCTTCAAAAGTTATTACATGTCCGTGCCTCTTAGTTTGATTCTGCAACTTCCAAAAACTACTCAAAGATGTAATGTGAAATTTTGAGGCTGATTTGTCTAATCTTTTTACTTTTCCATCATCCTCTAGCCCAGGTATCCTTGGAAAATATTCTTATCCTTATCTTTTATCACCAAGATTTTCTACTAGCACTTAAAAAATGTCTTCTCATACCTATACATTTTTAAGTGTTCATGTTTTCTGTGATTTACATTAAATCTCCTGAATATTCTATCAAGTGATAGAATGATATTATATTTGTACATGACAATGATATTATAATATGCATGCTTTTAAGAATGGTAAGAAGTAAAAAATAAAAAAAATTTTTTTAAATGGTAAGAAGTAACATTTTTGCTTTCTCAAACTTAGTGATAGAAAAATTGAGGCTCATTGGGCAAATGGATTGTGAAATTGGGATATAAAGCCCCATGCTTCTTGACTTTCTATTTTGTTAGCTCACTTCCAATGATCTTACTTTTCTCCCTAATAACAATTGCTCTGGCTACCTTCAAAAGAGATTTGTTCTTGAGAAAATCTCATTTTCCGTAGCCCAATATACCTGGCATTCTCAGTTCCCACAGATTACCTTTCATAGGAAATAGGCTTGAATATCATGGCTCTGTCATTTACCCTCTCTTAGCCTCCACTTCCTTGCCTGTAAGGTGGAGCTTATCATATCTACCCTGCCTACCTCATGGGATTATGAGTTTAAGTGGGAGATCGTCTGTGAAATCACTTTCCAGTTGGCTAAAAGCACCCCAAAACAACGCTCTTATTGTCCAGGCATGGATGAGGTGTGAGTTTATTAGTGATGTTTGCTGAGCATTGTGTTCTGTCTTTGAAAAGTTAAAAAGTGTCCTGGGGGTGGAGGAGGGGCAGAAAATTGCTATCATTAAATATTGTGTTTTCATCGGAAACCTCACATCTGGATGAGGAAGAGTGAAATGGTTAATACACAATGCAGCTTATATTGGCAAAGGAAAGATACAATTCATGATTAGATGTGGGGTCCTATAGAAAACTGGCCATATAAGGCATAAGTGAAATATAAAATGTTCTAGTTGTATAATGTAGTATCAGAGTCATTAAGAATAAAGGCTGCAGTAGACACAGTAGATGTATTATCCTCGATTTTTTAGTGGGGGAAACAGGCTCAAGGTGCTTAAATAACTTGCTTAAGATCACACAGCTAGTAGGTGGTAGAGTTTCAAACCCAGTTCTAACATCTACCTCTTGCTCATTTATGTACCCTGTCTCTGGAAAACAAAAGAAATGATTGTCCACATTAAGGTGAATTGATAGAATTATTGAGAGGGAAAAAAAAAAAAAAAAAAACCTCCCTCTAACAAGGGTTTATTTACTACCATGTAAGTAATCTCTTTTTAATGACAAAACAAAACAGAACAAAAATAACAGCCTGTCTCTCCTGCTGGGAATGATTTGTCCCTGTAGAAAAAGTAAATACCAGTGTCACATTCTCTCATAATTAGTTAACTGAGTGAAACAAAGCTTCAGGGAAACCTGCCACACCAAATCCCAGTGGAAACATTACATTTTAATGTTACAGCTGCAACCTGGAGTCCTAGCCCTTGTCAGAAGATAAGCCTGGCAGTGATTGATTGCCCTGCCCTGGGAGTTTACTGCCTATCACCTCATCATTTAAATTGCCCCGGGAGCCCTTCCTGTGCCCAGGCTGCTTTGCCTGAGCTCTCAGATTCTGTTCTGTCATCTTAGGCTGCTTATTTTGGGAGCCCTCTGTGAATGCCTCTCTGCCGCTGCTACCTGGGGTCCTGCACGGGCAGACTGTCTTCAGCTAATGTCTGCTCACTTCCCAAACACAGGACAGTCCCTGACTCTCTTGCAAGGCAGTGGCAACAATCTTGATTCCCCCGGGGGTCTGAAGCAGGCATCCCCTTCCCGTCCTCCCTCCTAGACCTGTTGGCAGTAATGGCTCTCACATTACATGGTAGCTTTTTTGTGGCAACAGTAACCCACTGGACAAGAGTAGGAGTAGCAGGTATCGGGAAATAAAAAATTTTAATGACCATGATCATTAGCGTAAGTGCCCAAAGAGGAGTCTCCTATCAGACTTGGATGCAGTTTTCCTTTGCAGTAGGTTGTGCAAAACAAAAACAAAAGAAAACCCAAAAACCACACATGTGCAGTGGCCTAAAGCTCTTTCATATATCAATAACTATCTCTTGGCTCAAAGTCATAGATTGATTTTTTTTCTACAATATAAACATATATGTACATATATACAGTTTTACTGATACAATGTTCATAAAAATGTACAAAACATTTGCCAGCTCCATTTAAATGATAACCAAAAGGAACTATGGCTTGCCCAGCCCCCAGGCTAAGAAATAAAACATTTGCAGTCATCTAGAAGCTTCACGTTTCCCTGTTTCCATTCCCTTCCCTCTCCTGCAGAGATACCTCTATTCTGCTCTTTTGCTAAGAATTTCCTTGTTTCTTTTGATCATTTTACTACATATACACATATTCCACATATGAATGTGTGTGTGTATATATATATTCCAGATATGTGTGTGTGTGTGTAGATTGTCTTATATTGAACTTTCATAAATTGAATCCTGTTGTAACTTCTTTTGTCCAAAATGTTTTTGTGATGCATCGTTGTTGAGTGCCTGAGTATATTTATTTCATTAATTTTTCATGCATAGTATTCTATTGTATGAACATATGTTTATATTTCCAAATTCTGATGAATGTTTGTGTAGACTCCAG